CCAGCTTCCCCCAGCCTCTCTGGCCGAGGAGCTGCTCTCCTCAGAGTTGCCCCATTTAAGAGCTGTATCATATGAATTTCTCCATTTTATAGATGAGGAAGCGTGAGTCCAGGTGGTGAAGGGTGGCCTTCCTTGCCCAAGGTCACGTGGTTGGGAAGTCATTCCACCACTCCACAGCTCCTTCCTTTCACTCAAGGCTGCAGCTGCCAATCTCTTCTGGAACCATCTCCAAGGAGCCAGTCACATTCCATAGCTAGAGCCAAGGTGTTGGCACCCACCTCCCAGCTCCCTGGCCTGGCCCCTTTTTGAAGCTTACTTCCTGTGACCTGACCTAGGAATTCCAGAAAGAACCCTGGCCTTAGATCCAGCCACCTTCCTTGGATTGTGGGTTTTGTCAGATACTTCAAAGGATAGAACTGTGACCAGTCTCGTCTCTTACTCATCAGACAACTACAAGGACTATTTTTGGTTGTTTAAGCTGCTGTAAACTGCCTGAAAAAAATGTTCCAGCCCTCAAAATAAATGTTTTGAAATCCCAATTTAATGGAGAAGTGAATTAGAGGAATAAGTGTGAAGCCATTTCCCCAAATCAGCTTAAATTCTCAATTACCAGTTTTGAAATTCATCAGATAATTATATTTTACTTTTTTTTTTCATTTTGTGGTATTTGAAAGTAGATATTTTCCAATCACATTCCCAGGTCCTTGGGGCTGTGGGATGAAAGATAATGCAGAGTATTAAGATACAGTTGTAGTTACTTTTTTTAAAAGCCTTTAGAGGCAGAACTGTCTTCACCCAGGACTTTCTGATGGGCCTGTCATGTACAGCCCTACCTGTCACCTCAGGTCACACTCGCACCACAGATTCATGGGTTCCAAAGCAAAGAAACAAAAGGAGCATCAGAGGAGAACCTGAGTCGTTTGTCTTTTAAACCTTCTTCACTGAACATGGACCAAAGATAAACACCGGGTTTCTGTGGTACCGTGGAGGTGTCCCCCGGACCTGCGATGACACAGTGTTGGCCAGGACTCCCACACACACTGTGGTTAGAATCCCAGTTCTGTCCTCAGGGGAGTCCCAGTCACTGTCTTCTCTGTCCCCACATCCTCAGCTCTCAGATCTGGATTCCTTTAAAGCCTCTGAGGAGGCACAAGTCACAGGGGACCATTGTCACCTGGAGCCAGGCCATTTGTTAAACTTTGGGCGCCAGAGGGGTGTCAGGAACTAGTGGAAAGGGTCCCTAGCTTTCATGAGATTCTCTGAGGGCTCCATGGTCGCCTGGTGAGGAACCTCTGTCCCTGAGGTTCACTCCTGGAAGGAACCGGTCGCGTTCTGCGCAGGGAGTGGAGTGGAGGGGGCTTCACTGTACCCCGTGCCTTCGTCCTGAGCTTCATCTCCCTCCTCTAAGAATTCTGTTCGCTTCTAAGGTGATTCTTTAATAGCCCGGCAAGGTGACAGGTTTGCACTAGAGAGAGAGGCAGGCCAGCCCACCAGTGGGAGAGGGTGTTGCCCCCTTGGGGCAGCGAGGGGGTGGCAGAGTCCCCTTCCCCAGGTGGGTGAGGGCGCAGCGGCTTGGACGGCACTGGCTGCCCGGGTCACCGGCTGGCCTCTGCCACGCAGTGCCGCCAACGTGAAGAAGTGGGAGATCGAGCTGCAGACCCTGCGCGAGAGCAACGCCCGGCTGACCACGGCGCTGCAGGAGTCGGCGGCCAGCGTGGAGCAGTGGAAGCGCCAGTTCTCCATCTGCCGGGAGGAG